CTAGTCCAAAAAGGTAACATTTTTAGGCTGTTTAGAGAACAAACCAACACGTTTTTCTTCTTTTTTCTTTTTTGTTACTTCACAGCAATGGCCTGCATTAACAGAACAATCTGCATTTTTCCTGGCTAATGCTTACAGGTAAAATGTGTCCCGAAACTGAATAACAGATATGCCTCTTCATCTCCTTTTTTGTGGGGACATCTTATTTATCAATTACAAGCCACTGTGTAGATGTTGGCGCAGGCGTGAGTGCATTAGTAATACCCTGACATCAAGAACACTGGACTTGAGTTGTAACCTCTACTGGCTCCAGCAGAGAAACATGGAATATAACATTTGAAAAGTTTTATTTTTAGAGGTCCTGTGATGAAATTCATGGGTGTTTGAGCACTCCCATAAAGGGTGTAAACTCTCCAATGAGGCAGAGAGATGGGCTGAGGGTTGAACTTGTCCGCGCGCACACGTTCGTGCACAAGTGTGTGCGTTTTTGTTTGTGGAATCGGTATAAAACCCTACGAGGACGAAGAGCCACCGAGCAGGTCGCTGGACTTCCCTATTTCTCCTGAAGAAATCTCTGCTGGACAACAGGAATTTTGTTGGGACAACTATGATGTTTCCCTGCGCTGCTCTGTCGCCTACTCTTTACCCGGGTTTCCTGCGTGTCCCTGCTACTCTCTCCGCGTCACTGAGCGAATCGGCGGCTCAGGGAAGAGGAACCGGCTTTCTGGTAGAAGATCACATAAGCCAACATGTCGGCTACATACATCGAACTTTCTCGTCCCTTAGTTCCGGAGACATTCTGCCGTTCAGTGCGGGGTCAAGGTCCTTTCCACGTACAACAGAACCAAGCACGGAGACATCCGGTCAACTCAGCCGCAGCAGCCCCGGATCTGTGTACGCAGCCAGCCCGGACTACCTGAAGTTCGGCGTCGGTACGATCCTGGCACCTTCTACATGGAGTCGTGAGTTTCTGATACCGATCTCTTTCTCTGCCCCTCTCTCCATAAATTTAACAT